TCTCTCTCTCTCTCTCTCTCTCTCTCTCTCTCTCTCTCTCTCTCTGCATGTAGACTTTTCCCCCCCACACAAACAGACAGACAGTAGAAACAAAATTGCTTGTCTGCATGCTGACGGGACAGGTGACATGACTGACAAAATGAACTGCGGCAAGGCAAATCTGAAACAAATTACGGCAACTTCTCACAACGTGGATAGGAAGATTCATACTGCCGAATGTATCTTGTCGTATATTCTGGAAAGATGCTTTTTTTTCTGTCCGACGAGAAAGCCCACAGAAACAGAAAAAGAACACGGGATATATTTTCCCTATGTTATCAAGAAACCGGCCAAGCTCCCAAAGAATAAGCTCTGAGGTCCGTCCCCTCTTTGCGAAGCAGGGTCCAGCCGTCGACAGCGCTGTCATCCTCTTCGACGTCCCCGACCAGGGAACCTGCACACACACGGCCCGCTGCAGAGGTTGCCTACCAAGACCACAATTCAGGGAGCAGTTGTCTTTTTTATTTTTATTTATTTTTATTTTTATTTTTTATTTATTCTTAGCCCTTCGACGGAGCGAAGGGCCATTAAAAATTGTTGTAAGCTGCTCAGTGTGCTCAGCCCACGGTATTCTTTAGTAAAAGGCGAAAGAATAGTACGTCATGTGAGCTSKGCACGCAGCTGAAYGAGGGAGCAGTTGTCTATACWATGTACATGCACCAGTCGAGCCTTGTTTATGCCATAATATTCTGTATACCCCCCCACCCCAGAAGATAAAAATCTGCTTCTCCCAAACCCGAAAACACAAGCCTCCCAAAAAAAAAAAAAAAAAAAAAAAAAAAAAAACAAGCCTCCGCAAAGCTCGCCCCGCTGCATGACTCACAATGCCAAACACAGCCTTTCTGAACCCGAGCTCCACATTAATAAACGACAGACCGTGGCTGCGCCATCACGCGTAGCGTGGTCTAACAGTGCAAAATGTGTCAGACGGCTCGCCACACCGTCGACACAACTTGTGGAGAGTGAATTCAGTTTCCCCGCCTGTGCACGGCGGTTTGTGGAGGGTGGCCTTCGGACCTCGCCACAAAACAGCTTTCTGGAGAGTGCAGGGCTTCACGAGTCGACATGGGGGGGACTATTTCTTTTTACGTTTCTGTAGAAGAAATCTCGTGGCGAGTACGTGCAACCAGGCCTCGAGTTCGACACGATTCTCATATTTTTCACTCTCCACGGATCCGCCACGAAATGTGACGGATGGTGAGTAGTGCAACTACGATAGGCCCTTACTAAGAGGCTCGCCACACAGGCTGTCCAAAATCGAAATTCTTCAACAGCTGTCAGGGATTTTTCGACAGTCACGCATTCCACAATTTTTCCCCCTATGGCCACACAGGCCGTCGAAAGGGCGTGGCTGTAGAGATTGGCAAGTCGACGCCCCCTTTCGACAGGTCCTGTGTGGCGATGCGAGCGGCCTGTACCTGGCCCATAAACGAGGATATGGGGTAGTGCCTGGCCACACAGACTTTCGACGGCGCTGCGGACAAAAGGGCCACGTTTGTCAGTGGGTAGTGCCTGAAGTGAAAAAAGCAAGCGTTTCTCGACAGCTCCCAAAAGCACTGTCGAGAAACCGTGCACCGCAGGCGGGAGGAAACTCGTTCAACACGGCGGCTGTCGAAAGAGGAAGTCTGACACTTGTCCAAATTTTTTTGAGACGAAATTCTCAACAGTCTGTGTGGCGACGAGAAGCTGTCGAAAACGAGGACCCTGTGTGGCGAGCCAGCCGAGCCTCTAAGGGGCTCGCCACACAGGCTTTCGAACGAAGGTATTTTTCGAAAGGTGGCAGACTTTTTTCGAAAGTCTGCTCGTCGAAAGGAAACCCCCCCCTCTTCACACAGACTTTCGAAACACCCAGGCCTTTCTATATATGCGCATTAGGGCCTGGCTGCACTGCTCACTACGCGTGTAAAACGAGAGTCTGAATTTTTGCCTAAAACATGGAAAGATACTTCGCCATAATTTTTGTCGTTTGTGATTGTCGAGAGTAGTGGAGCCAGGCCCTTGGAATCGCGCA